AGAGCTTGTTGACTCTCACTGCCAGCCTAAGGAGACTCACTAGCGTTCGATCGGCGGAACCCAGGTGGATGGAGGCCAACGGCGGCACGTGGATCTCACAAGCGCCTCCTGCAGTTTCTGTGCCAGTGAACGCTAGGTGGCGCGTGACCCATCTGGATGGATGGTGGCTTCTTCTTCTGGTGACGATGAGCTAGTTCCGGCGAGATTCTTGCGTTACCCAGGCCTAGGGGGCATCATTCGCAAACTTCCTTGTTGTGGGTATCTCTGTTCAGTGTATGTGTTATCTCTATGGATTCTCATAAGCTTCTGTCATGAGCCGTTGGAAGGATCCAGAGTGGTGTATTTGGTGATTCTCAGTTTTATGTCCTATGTTTCTTCATCCGTCAAGAGACAAAAGGTACTCCAATCATCACATGCTGCTGTAATTGTGGGATGTGAGTCACTATCCTCGGCCTTTGTTGCCAAAACAGGTAGTTTCCTTTAGGCCCTCAAAACTTCTCGAAACAAATCTCTATGGATTGTTGATTCTGGAGCATCAGATCATATGACTGATTGCCATCAATTATTCTGTACCTATGTTCCATGTGTTGGGAACTTTAAAGTCGAAATTGCTGATGGATCTCTTGCTTGCATTGCTGGGAAAGGGAGTATTTGAATATCTGAATCTATCATTTTGGAGTTTGTTCTTCATGTACCAAAATTAGCATGCAACCTATTATCTGTTAGCCAATTAACCAAGCAATCCAAGTGTTGTGCTAATTTTCTTTCAACCCATTGTGTCTTTCAGGATTTGTCATCGAGGAAGACGATTGGATGTGCTACAGAATGTGAGGGGCTTTACTTCCTTGACGATGTTGGCGTGAGTTCCCAACAAGTCACCAGCGTATGTAACTCTATATCAACATCTAAAGATACAGATATTTTGTTATGGCATAAGAGAATGACTCATCCTAATTTCCATTATCTATCTCGTTTGTTCCCCAACCTTGGTTCCACTAACCATGACCTCAAATGTGAGGTGTGTGAACTAGCAAAATATCATCGAACATCATTTAGTAGAACACCATACACACCTACAAAGCCCTTTGTTACCATCCATAGTGATTTGTGAGGACCATCCCATATCCCAAACTGCACAAAATCAAAGTGGTTTATACCTTCATTGATGATCATATCTGAGTTTGTTGGGCATATCTCTTAAAAGACAAGACTGAGGCAGTGTTTGTGTTCATCAATTTCTTCACCATGATACAAACCCAGTTTAACACAACAATCTAAGTTTTGTGCACTGACAATGGTACTGAATATTTTAACCAACCTTACAAGCCTTCTTACTCAAACATGGTATTGTCCACCGTAGTTCTTGTGCCCATACACCCTAACAAAATGGGATTGCCCAAAAAAAAAAACATATTCTAGAAGTTGCTCTGGCACTACTGTTCACCCACAATGTTCCTAATTTCTATAGGGGTGATGCAATCTTAACTGCAACTTATCTTGTTAATCGAATGTCCAGTCGTATTTTATCCTTCAAAACTCGTCTTCAAAAATTACAAGGTGTTTTTTTCCACCTCTCATATTGAAACCATCCTTCCTCTTCATGTGTTTGGGTGCATTGCCTTTGTTTATATCCATCAAAACAGTAAACTTGGACCACGTGCTACAAAATGCAGCTTCCTTGGCTACTCTCCTACTCAAAAAGGATTTAAATGTTTTGATCTTCTCTCTAAACACATGTTTGTAAGCCTTGATGTGACTTTTTATGAAGCCACATCTTTCTATCCCAATTCTTCAATTCAGGGGGAGAATATAAGGGAATCTCAGACTTGGGACCAAGAAACTAGCAGCGAACAAATGCTCCTTGATTCTTGGTTTACACTAATAGAGTCATTGTTACCATAATTACTAGATCCATCACCTTCACCAAAACCCTCAATACCACCATCTCTTATGCCAGTTACAGAAGATAACTTAAAAGAAAGAGGAGTTGTAGAGAAGCAAAAAGACAAAGACTTGTTGGTTTATTCATGAAAACATAAGTCCAAGGAAGGTGAGCACCTTATATCTGAAGCACCAAAGGAGTTTGAGCCAATGGTAACTCCTGATCCACCTCAGCAAATTACTGAATGGTTGAGTTATCAATCTGATCTTGATTTACCCATTGCTTTTTGTAAACAACCTCATTCTTGTACCCTACATCCAATACAGAAGCATATGTCCTACAAGGCTCTCTCTCCAAGTTACAGAGCATTTGTCACTATTCTGGATGAAGTAGTAATTCCTAACAGCATTCAAGAGGCACTGAAAATACCAAAATGGAGAAATGCAGTCATGGAAGAAATGAAAGCTTTAAAGAAAAATGAAACATGGGAGATTGTTTTAAGGTCGAGTGGTAAGAAGCTTGTAAGCTGCAAGTGGGTCTTTACCCCTAAGTACCACGCCGATGGTACTATTGACAAGTTAAAAGCTCGCTTAGTAGCAAGAGGGTTTACTCAGACGTATGGTATTGACTACAAAGAAACTTTTGCACCGGTGGTGAAGTTAAACACCATCAGAGTTTTATTATTTGTGGCAGCCAACTTAGAGTGGCCACTCCATCAACTTGACATCAAGAATGCCTTCCTAAATGGGAAGCTAAAAGAGGAAGTATACATGATTCTACCCCCGGGATTTGACGAAGGAAGAAGTGATCAAGTGTGTAGATTGAAGAAATCTTTATATGGCTTAAAACAGTCTCCCAGGGCATGGTTTGATAGGTTCTCGAAAGTCCTCAAACTAGAGGGCTACAAGCAAGGTCTGTCAGACCATACAATGTTTGTTAAAGATGAGGGAGGTAAGAGGTGCATTCTTATTGTATATGTTGATGACATTATCCTCACAGGAGACTATTTCGAGGAAATAACTAGAATAAAGAATGCTCTCAGAAAAGAATTCAAGGTAAAAGACCTTGGAAACTTGAAATACTTTCTTGGGATGGAAGTTGCAAGGTCAAAGAGAGGTATCTACATATCTCAAAGGAAGTATGTACTTGATCTTTTGAAGGAAACAGGTATGTTGGGATGTAAGCCTGCTGAAACCCCTCTTGTGATTCCAAAGAAAAAGAAGCCAAAGAAGAATAAGGAAGAGTTAGAAGAAGACGAAGAAGATCTTGGTGATGAGATTGAAGAAGAAGAAGAAGATAATGAGAAAGAAGAGGCCGTTGACAAGGAAAGATATCAAAGACTTGTCGGAAAGCTGATTTATCTTTTCCATACAAGACTGAATATTGCCTTTGCAGTGAGTTTGGATAGCCAACACATGAATGAAGCGAAGAAGCATATGGAAGCAGCCTATAGGATTTTGAGGTATCTAAAAGGTACTCCTGGTAGGGGGTTATTCTTCCAAAAACAAGAACAAAGAACCATAGAAGTTTACACAGATGTAGATTGGGGAAGAACTCTTCCTAATAGAAGGTCAACTTTTGCTTTGCTCCTTCGTGTGGGGAAATCTCGTTACTTAGAAGAGTCAAAAACAAAGAGTTGTCTCTAAAAGTAGTGCCAAGTTCGAATTACGAGCATTAGCTTAAGGAATAATGGAGGAGTTGTGGCTGAAACGAGTCTTAGAAGAGATATATGTCAAGTTGGACTTACCATTAAAACTCTATTGTGATAATAAGGCGGCTATAAGCATGGCCCTAAATCCGGTTTAACATGAGAAATCTAAACATGTAGAAGTGCATAGGTATTTCATTAGAGACAAAGTGGAAGAAGGAATCATATGTTTGACTTATTTGCCTACCAATCTTCAAGCTGCGGATGTTCTAACCAAGGGGCTTCATAAGCTTGCCTTTGAAAGTTACATAAGCAAGTTGGACATGATTAGCATCTATGATCCAACTTGAAGGGGAGTATGGTGATATTGAATTTATTATAAATATTCTACCCTGATTATTAGGGATTATTGTTGATTATTAGGGGTTATTATTATTTATTATTCTGTCTCTCAGCTTTGTGTATATATACCGATTGTAACTCATTTTTGTATTAATGAAAATGGTATTTTCCCTCTCAAAGTGCCACAGAAACCCATGAATCTATAGTCTCTACAATTGAGTTTCATTGAGTTTTGATGTACTTGACTTCACATCTTGGGTACTCATAATTTTGATTCTTTTTTTCAATCGTAGAATTGTGCAATTATACCATCTTGACTCAAATTACTACAAAACCTATGAGTCATGGATGATTCTATGTTGCTTTCAATTTAGGTATTAATTGATAAGTTGTCTGCAATCCACTGTGAAATGTGGCGTTCATATTATGAATTGAATTTTGCTTCTCCATGTTGCTTAGTATTTCATACATTTGTGCAATAGCTTGTCGTTTGAGATGGTTCGGATATGTATAAAGAAGATCACGAGAGGCACTTGTGAAGAGAGTGGAATAGATGATTTTGAGCTTGTCAAGAAGGGTATAGGAAGATCGAAGAGAACACTTTTGGAGGTTGTTGAGCGAGACCTTTTAATTAATAATATTCTTAAAAACTTAATAAATGATAGAGTATAATGACGTCATATAATCACATAGCCGACCTCACTTAATGAAATAAGGTTTGTTGTGGTGGTTTTTGTGCAATAGCTTGTCATGGGTCTTCTATCAGTCATGGATGTAACCCAATCTGTATCTATACAAGCCTTCAGATTCTTGGTAGCTTCCTTCTCGAAGAATAATCCTTTCCATGGAATCGTTCTGGGATGTCATAACATTTTGTATACTACCTAAATCACTACACTGACAGGATATGATATGTTAGAATGAGTGAGATTATTCTTTCTTGGTTATTTGATGCAGTAAAAGGCTATTGCATTGCAATATCTCTTTGGTTATGCAACTCTGTTTTAACTGCTCAATATACTTTATTTTCAAAGTGGGATCTAAAAATAGTCAGAACAAAATTTCATCTCCAAGGAACTTTTTTGTTGTTGTATGCTTCTGATGATTATGTTTTTGTTCAATAAACAGGTCATCTCGCTTGTTCATCTTCCAAGGACCATCTCACTTGATGCTTCCAGTAAGTTCTGGATTTTTTGTTTCTAGCCCATTATTTTTCCTGCTGAATTAACTATTTTGGTTTTTGTCTATTCCCCATGTATTGATGTGTTTTGAGCACACATTTCCTTTCTAATGATCTCTTTTTGAAAGTAAGTGTAGTATTAGTTTTGTAATTAAATTGACTGATTACATGGTTTCTGATGTGAGCAATAATTGTCTCTAAAATGCCTACAATTTCTCTGATGAATTGATCAGCCCTAGGGGCTTCATGCAAATTATATTCCTGTGCTTTTTTTTTGTTTGGGTATGATTCTTCAAGACAATATAGGCGTTGCTATTGCTAGGCTTTTTGCTACAATATTAAATATATTCATGGGTTTTGATGTTGCTGGGCTCTTTACTGCACGATTTTTGTTTGTAAAGATATTATTGGTATTGCTCTTTAATTTACGCATTCAGATTTGGTGGCCATCTTAGGATAAAGGATATTCTATTTATTTTTAAAATGAGATTTGAAGTGTTGAAATTTAACTTAAATTATTTAGTTTGTTAGTTTGTGGGTGCTGGACAATGTTAGTTTGCTTTTTTATGGTTCAATAGTTCCAGATTTCCAGGTTTCTTTTATTATTAAAGGATATTCTATTTATTTTTAAAATGAGATTTGAAGTGTTGAAATTTAACTTAAATTATTTAGTTTGTTAGTTTATGGATGCTGGACGATATTAGTTTGCTTTTTTATGGTTCAACAGTTCCAGATTTCCAGGTTTCTTTTATTATTATTTTTTATTATTTTTTTTTGTTGGAAATTCCGGGGGTCAAATTGGACATCTGCCTGAGCTTGTTTGCTGGCTGTCCAAATACAGGCATTTTCTGAGCATGGTTGAGAATTGGGCTGAATTTTGTGCCCAAAGGCTTTTAGGGTTGGGTAATGGGTAGCTACCTTGCCTGGCCCAACCCTGCCCATAATCAGCCCTATTCAACATCATGCTTATTGGTTGGGGAAAGGGATGGGAATGAATGATATACAAAACAACAACAACAAGTCTTTATCTCACTAGGTAGGGTCGGCTACATGGATTGCAAGACGCCATTGTGCTCTATCATTAAAATATGAACGATATAGGTGATGAAAATTAGGGTGTTGGAACCTCTTATGCCTATGGAATAGTTGGGAAAAATATTTCTCATTGATCTGAAGAATGAACTACACCCAAAATATATACAGCAGGGGTAATAAAATCTAACAAAAGCTAATAAATGGTGATAAAAGCTGTACAGTCAGAACATTAAAATTAAAGATATTCCCACACTCCCCTCAAGTTGGATCACAGATATTAATCATGTTCAACTTACTTATGCAATCATCAAAATTCTCTCTTGGAAAACCCTTGGTGAGAACATTGGCAGCTTGTTTCTCCGATGGAACATATATTAGGCACACTGCATCACTTTCAATCTTTTTCTTTGATGAAATGTCTGTTCAATTCGCCATGTTTTGTTCTATCATGTTGAATTGAATTGTGAGATGTGCTTATGGCTGCCTTGCTATTAGAATAAAGCTTAATAGGCAGTTCCACACTAACTTGTAGTCCATTGAGAAGTACTTCCTTTGATCCTATTTATAAGACACTTTTTAGAAGTAATTTTTTATTCAAAATGTAGAACACTTTGTAGTAATTAAACTACTTTTTCAAATTTTATCCTTTCTTAATTAGCATGAAGGTATTTAATGTAGTAATTGTATCACTATTTAAAGCCAAAGGTCAAAATGAAAGTATATGTCAATTTTTTATGATACCAAGAAAAAACTAACTTTTTTTAAGATGTGTGAAATGGTTGAAAGTATCCTTCAATAAGGACCAAAGGGAGTATTTACAAATACAAGCCTTCACAGATTCCATGAGCTATATTTTTAAACTCGGCTTCTGTCGTACTTCTAAACATCACATTTGTTTCTTGCTCCTCCAAGTTACTAGGTTGCCCTAAACAAAGGTACAATACCCAGATATAAGCCTTCTATCCTCTGAAGCTCCTGCCCAATCGGCACCAATAAATCTTTAAACCTTGGGCTGTTCACCTTTTTGTGAAGAACAATCTATTTCTTGGGGTACTTTTTAAATATCTCATCATTCTAAATGCAACTCGTGGGTGATTTTTTTATTTTTTTTGGTGAGAGTATATGTTGACTTACAAAACTCACTGCAAAGGCAATAGTTGGTCTTGTATGTGGCAAGTATATCAATCTTCTCACGAAACTTTGGTATCTTTGTTGGCTAGTTGACTTTCTTCCTCCTTTTCTTTATCATCTTTGTCTTCTTCTCCTTTTTTCTTTTTCTTCTTGATTGCATTCAAGAGATCAAGGATATATTTTCTTTGTGAGATACATATTCCTTTCTTTGATCTAGCTACTTCTACACCTAGAAAATAGCGCATTTGGCCTATGTCTTTTACCTCAAATTTTGAGGCCAAGACTCTCTTCAGTTTCTCTATTTCATCAAATTCCCCATTGTTGCGATTTCAGCTTTAGTACTTTGTTTGACTCCCAAAAAAAAATAGAATAACTAAACTGAGACCAATGACTGAAGAAACAGGATACAAACCGTGTCATATAATTGCTACAAATACATGCGATCACCATCATCTTGCTTTGGATTATAGCTTCTGTGGCCATCTGCTCTTGCTTCCTCTTTCTTATAGGTTATGAGGCTGAGTCTATGATAGAAGAGCTAAAAAGAGTGACATACAAAAGGGCCCAGCCCATGACACATTAGGCAACCAGTAGAAAAGGAAGGGCTGAATGCTAAGAGCAAGGGATTATAAAGTTGTTTGACACTATCAAAGTAGTGGGAGTGAGCAGAAGGAGGCTGAGGGGTGAGAGAGAGGTAAGTAGAATGGTGTTTGTGCAATGAGAGGTCACAACAACAATAAGCCTTATCCCATTAGGTGGGTTAGCTACATAGATTATATGTGTGGGAATATTATGTTATTATTGTGAATAATTAGCATTTATTAGGATCTCATTAATTAGGCTTTATTAGTATTTATTAGCTTTTATCTCTCTTGATGTATATATATAGGACCAGTGTGTACATTAGAAATGTAATGAGATAGTACAATTTTTCCTTTCTGAGAATTCCACATGGTATCAGAGCATCAGGCTCAAAATTTCAAATTAAATTAGTTCCGGAATGGCTAGAATGGGGCTGCCTGAACAGAACGTGATGGCGTTTGTGTGGACAATGGTGGAGCGAGTTTTGAATCTCACCGCCACCCTAGATGTACTCAGGAGGCTCCGAACGACGAAACCTAGGACGGCGGCGGCGAACAGCGGCGCGTGTAGACCACATGTGCCACCCCTGCTTACTACGTCAGTAAGCTTCCAACAGTGCATGGTGGCGCATGGCGGCTCCATTTAGGACGCGATCTTCTCGGACGGCAATGACGCACTCTCTCTAGCCAGATCCAGCACAATCCGGTGTATGGGCACATCGTTTTCGAGCCATATCAGGTTGTATGGTGTTGTTGGTGCCTTGTTTTGCTAGGTTTGGAGTTATATTGGGTTGTGGCTTCTGTTTTCAGTCTGCCAGAAAGCTTTTCCCTCATTTGAAGTGCTAGGAGTGGTGTTATGGCTACTTTTATGTAGTGTTGTGCATAATTCCAGATCTGCACCCATGGCATTTGTGGCAAAAAGAGGGTCTTTTCTTCAGGCTTTAAAGACGACTCGAAGTGCAATGGTCTGGATCGTAGATTCCGGGGCATCTGATCATATGACTAATTATCATCAATTGTTCACCACTTGCACCCCATGTGCTAGAAATATTAAAGTGAAAATTGCAGACGGCTCCTTAGCACCGGTGGCAGGAAAAGGGAGTATCCGTATATCAGATTCTATTATTTTGGAATCTGTCCTTCACGTGCCAAAACTTGATTGTAATTTACTTTCAATCAGTCAACTGACCAAGCACTCAAATTGTTTTGCTAAATTTCTCCCGTCACATTGTGTGTTTTAGGATCTATCATTTGGTGCGACAATCGACAATGCTAAAAAATATGAGGGGCTCTATTATTTAGAGGTCATCACTCGAGTAGATAACCCACCTATTGTTGGTAATTCTGCATCTACCTCTAAAGTTCATGATTTTATGTTGTGGCATAAGAGAATGGGTCACCCTTATTTTCATTACCTTCAGCGGTTGTTTCCAACCTTATGCCTGATCTTGAATCATAGTGAAATCCAGTGTGAGGTATGTGAACTTGCCAAACACCATCGAACTTCCTTTCCTAGAGCCAAATACACACCTACCAAACCTTTCACAACCATTCACCATGATTTGTGGGGACCATTTCGCATTTCAAACCATACTAAAACAAAATGGTTCATCTCCTTCATTGACGACCATACTCGTGTTTGTTGGGTTTACCTTTTGAAAAACAAGTCCGAGGTTGCATCCACATTCATGAGTTTTTTCAACATGATCAAAAGCCAATTGCACACTAGCATTCAAGTTTTACACACCGATAATGGCACTGAATACGTCAACCAGTCTTTGAATAATTTTCTCCAAATGCATGGGATTGTCCATACCAGTACGTGTGCCCATACGCCCCAATAAAATGGGGTCGCAGGAAGAAAAAATAGACATATCCTTGAAGTTGCAAGAGCACTCATGTTCACTTGCAACGTGCCAAAGTTTTATTAGGGAGATGCCGTTTTAACCGCAACCTATCTCATCAACCGAATGCCCAGTTGAATATTAGCCTTCAAAACTCTTCTCCAAAAATTGCAGTGTTTTTCCTACATCCCACATTGAAACCAAACTTCCGCTTCGTGTGTTTGGGCACACAACCTTTGTTTATATCCACCAAAGCAGTAAACTTGAACCTCGAGCTATCAAGTGTATCTTCTTTGGCTATTCTACTCAAAGAGGATATAAATGCTTCGATCCTGTTTCTAAACACATCCTTGTAAGCCTCGATGTTACTTTCCATGAAGAAACTCCTTTTTATTCCAATTCCTCA